CCAAGGCCCCAAAACACCCACACTCTCCAAAGGAAATATTTAACTGCCCCTCACTACACTCCTAAAGAAGAGTATAAGAGAAAATAAAAGAATCAAATACAAGCTTAAAGTGTTTTTATTGGTACATCATGTAAATAAAAAATTGAATCCTATATACAACCTTGGACTCCCTTTTTCTTTACAAAAATAAGCAATGTGTGACTTCTTCAAAATGTATATTTTCAACCAACCCCAACAATCTCCACCTTGATTGAAAATAATACATAAGCTTCCATTGTCTTCACTGACAATCATACTCCACCGTAAAGAGTATAGACACTTGAAGCTACACCACTCCAAGAATTTTCACATTGTTTTCATCGACAATCATAGTTTTAACCACTATCATACTTCACCTAAAGAAGAGTATACTTCATTTGAAGTTAAACCACTTCAAGAGTTTTCACATGCCAAAAATCAGGTTGATACTTTATGGTGAAACTTCCATGTTGGTAGGAAGCTCTTCAATCACTGACATGATCTTGCACCTTGTGTAATCTTGACTTTGGCAACACATCTTAAATCGAACATTCCACAAGACAAAAACAATTCTTCCATCAATTTTCTCTACCCCAAACTGCACAGTGTAACTTGTGACTGCAGCTCAACAACTCTTTCACAACATCATCCTTTTTTCTAATTTGGAACATCGGACAAAGCTGCAACCACAAAGAATTCTAAGAAAACTTATCCCCAGATCGAACCAAAACCTCGGATACCAGTTGTTGGGAAAAACAAAACAAAAAGAAAAAGAGGAACAAAATAACAACAATAAAAACACAAGGATATAACGTGGAAACTCCAAAACAAGAGAAAAAACCATTGTCGTTGTCAAAAGACAATCATAGAATATCAGTATGTGAAAATTGTTATAACACATAGACTACCCTCCACACACCCCAAGGCCCAAATACACCCACACTCTGCAAAGAAAATATTTAACTGCCTCTCACTACACTCTAAAAGAATAGTATAAGAGAAAATAAAACAATCAATTACAAGCTTAAAGTGTTTTTGATTGGTTCATCTTGTAAAGAAAAACTTGAATCCATTATACAACCTTGGAGTCCCTTTTCCTTTTCAAAATTAAGCATTGCAAGAGCTTTTCTTTTGTCGATGGTGACAACACTAGTCTCACCCTCTTTCTTCCTAACAAAAATAAAAAACATCTTCCTACCATTGCCAATATTGTTGTTGATAGTGTTACGGATACCTTGGATCGTCCCAGCCTTGATACGAGTTTCAACATGTTCTCCAATAATAACCATATCAGAGAAAGAAGTAGAGGTACTCTTGAGCATGTGTTGGAGATAAGGACCTCGTAGAGTGGCCATGAACAAATCAATCAGTTCAGGATCCAAGAGAGGAGGTTGGAACCTTGCTACCAGTACACGCCACCTTTGGGCATACTCTTTAAAAGACTCTTCGGATTTCTGTGTCATCCCTTGAAGATGAGTGCGGTTAGGAGTCATGGCGGTATTATAATGGTAATGTCTTAAAAAGGCGTCAGCAAGATCTCCCCAAGTAATGTCATGAATTCTTTCTAATTGCATATACCAGTCCAATGGTACCCCTGTTAGGCTGTCTTGGAAGAAATGCATGAGCAACAGTTCATTTTTAGCATAATCTTCCATCTTGCAACAATAGGAACCAAGATGAGTCTTTGGGCAGGAGGTGCCTTTATATTTGTCAAAATCATGAACCTTGTACTTGGGAGGAATAACTACCCTAGGTACGAGGCACATTGCAGCAGTATTGAATCCCGAAGTCTTGATACCTTCCATAGCTTTGAGATACTATTCAAGAGCATGGTACATTTTTGCAGTTTCAGCAACTCCAGCGGCTAGATTTGCGTGGGGCTCATCAAGATCAATGACATCGTGATGATCATCAATGTCATTTTGAGGAATTACCGTAGGGGTCTCAACATTCGCATTATTATTCCCTCCATTTACAGAAGTGGATGGGGCAGCAGTGGCAAGCTTGGCAACACTTTGATGGGGCTCTTCTTGACCCTTGATGACAGCATGAAGGGTTTCTATAAGATGATCCATTCGGGTTCCCATGGTGTCCATATCTCAGGGGAGAGCATTCTTATTTTCTTCGAAGAGATTCACGAGTCTTCGCTGGTTTTTTCTTATACTGTAGGGATGTAGAGAAGTCGTCTTTATTGTTCACTAGAGTCTGATGAAAAGGGACCCCAATAAGTTTTTGTTAGGAATAATGAATGCATGATAATATGAATGCATGTTTCATCTTTAATTCTGAGGAAATCCAAAGACTCGTCTATCCGTAAGTATCTTTTAAATTTTTTATTTTTGAAGAGCTCAACTAACAAGACTTGTCTTTATAATTCCTTAGATATGAGATGCATATACATGATGGTATCATGTCATGGTATGCTATGGCATGGGATCTCAGCTTCACATATACTGGATAACCACTGTATAGTCCTTTTCATAAACTGAAAGTAACATGATTAAAAGTCCGACGTCACGAGCATTCAGTCAAGGTAACCACCCATAAGGTATGTATTAAGGGTTTATCACCTGCTGAACAGGGTTCTAGGGAAATCCCGTAGTCTACGCTCTTCCTTTGGATATTACCAACGTCCCAATTACTTGGTAATTAGTAATATCTGCAGGAAAAACTTGTCTGAGTCCAGCATTGCATGACAACTGCTTCTAGATTACTCCTTCATAGTCTCCACACTACACCTAGAAGGCCAAGATGGGTTAAGGGTTCTACGGATTCTCAGCTTCGCAGGCTCCCAGGTCGAAAGCAACAATGTCTTCTCGATTACTCGGTAAACAAATACTACAGTCAAAGGGGCCTCCACTGAGTGGGGAATTTCATGCCTCCTTCTTCGGGATTACTCCCTCAAAGTTAACATGACTATATCGCCCATCCTAATCCTAAGTGTAACCCCAAGTCCAGGTATAGGACTTATCAAATGAAATCACCCACTCCAACATTACAAAAGAGACATCATATTCAAAAGTGGGTGAGTAGCAAAAATACAATGCAATATATACAAAAGATAGCAAAAAATCAATAAAGAAATAAAGTGGTAAAGAAAATAAAGTAAATAAATAAACACCCAAAGAAGTAAACAAACAAATCTAGGATAGATTCACATAGGGTCGCCAGCAGAGTCGTCAGCTGAAGTGACCGGCAAAAAACACAGAGCCGCCACCGAACTTATTTATCCCGAAGGAAGGGGAAATATCGAGAAAACCCAAAAAGGATGGATAAGATGGTCTTGAAATTAAAAGAAATGGTACGAAAGTCGATTATTCAAGGGGGAGGTATTAACACCTCTCACATCCATTGTACTCAACAAGATGCATTTTGATTGTTTCTTTCTAAGGGCGCGTCTATCTAAAACTATACTTGTTAAGGGAAATGTAATGGTTTTATTAGTGCGTTCGTGAGGGTCTCACAATCCTTTGCCTACGTATCCCGTGGAAGAATCATAATATTGTAGTTCTTCTAGAAAATGTTAGTTTGTTGGTGTTTTTTAGTGGGTGACGTTAGCGCATGCATTCTAGCAATAGGCACAGCCTGTATCGCGGTAGAACAGAGATAACATGCCCCCTTAAAGAAATCTTTGATTTGTTGAGTGTTTTTGTTAAGTATGGAATGATTTTGAAATTGTTAAGTGTTTTTGGGTAATTGATTAAGGAAATAAAGTTTTTTTGTTTTAATTAGGAAATATGAAATGCAAAAGAAAAGACTAAGGGGAAAGTCTACCCTAATTTTGTCATTCAAAGTGGACCTAAGGTCGAGTGTTTAAAAGGGAAAGTTCTAACCTAATTAGTTATCATGCATGGATTGGTCCTAAATTCTACTTCAACACGAAGCGATCGAAAATGAATTTGATCAATTCGTGAAATCACGTAAGGGAAAATTTTATCAAGACTAACCCAGTAATCAAACAAAACGAAACTAATATTTTTTTGTGATTTTTATCAAGTAGAGAAAAAGTGACTAATTGAAAATAACTAAAATGACTAAGAAAATTAAAAGAAATATTAAATTAAATTCCCAAGGTTAGTAAGTTAATCTTAAAACTAAACTGATTAAGAAAATATAAAACTAAGAATCAATGTAAACTAATTAGAAAACCATTAGAGTTAATCAAATTTAAATTAGACAAATTAAGACCAAAGGGTGCAAGCAGAATATGGGGGAGTATGATGAATTTCGGTGGGCTAAAAAGAGAGAAACATTCCAGGCCCAAGCTAAAAAAAATAGAATGAAAATTATTTATAAAAAAAAGTATATGATGGGCTGGACCGGATCGGGTCCGGACCCAGCTCCTCACTCAAATCTAGACGGGTTGTATAACCCTAGAACATTCACGATAGTTCCTCATACGAAGAAGAAAGAAGAACGAGGAATCTTCTGCCTCTCTCAATAACCAATTGAACCCTTAAACCTCAAATCTCTTGATTCACCAACCACAACGATTTCCAGTTTCCCTTAGGCGCTCATTAATCTCTCTACGACCTCACAAGAAATGTATTTGTCTTTGTACAGTAGGAATCAAAACAACAAGATAAACTCAAACAAAATCAGTTCTCTCATGGCACAACTCTCATCTCTCTCAATTTGTTCTCATGCTGAAAATGGTTACGACAGAGATACCACCCATCAAAACCCAACCTCAACCATTCCCTTCCTCCCTTTCTTCACCACTTGCCTCATCCCTCCGCCGTGAAGTCGTGTCCAAGCACCACAAATCGGCGCTTCAAAATACTTCATCCCTCTTACTGATTTGACCTATGTTTTCATCCAATTTCACTATGTTCCCTAAAATCTAAAGAAGACCGAACCCTAACACACTCTAAGAAGCCATTGAAATGAAATAGCAGAGATTTGAAGAGAATAGACATATGATTTTTGTTTAATTGAATTCATGTAGTGTCAAATCGAATAGAGGGCGATTTACCTAAGAGATGGAGATTTGTCTCGGTTACCATTGCGACAAAGGAGCCACGAAATTGCAGAGAAAAATCAGAGGAAAGTTCATATTTGTAGGTAATATTATGCATCCATTAATCTTTAACTTATGTTTTTATTTTCTCTCTTTTCTGTATGTGTTTTTGGAATTTCTTTGCCATTGGTTTCTGTGTTTTGATATTGTTGTTGCGGATCGATGTTGGTTGGAAAGAGTATGTGTTGCTTGTTGAGGGTGCAAATTTTATGAACAGAGAATGTTGTGTTGGTTATGGTTGAAGGATGAATAAGGTTTTGTACTGATGATGATGATGTTGCTAGAAAGGTTGGGAAACTGATGAGGGTAGGTTGTATTGGTTTGTTTGTGCAAAAGTGAGGTTAAATATGTGTTTTGTGAGCAGAGATATGAAGAAAGTTGCATGTTGAAGGTTGAAGGAGAAGGTGAGTAGAAGTAGGTTTTTGTGACTGTATTTGTTGGTGTGAGTAGAATGAAGTTTGAATGTTTTTTTGAGGTGTGTTTGCAGATGGTTGTATGTGAGTTGATGGTTTATGCTGAAAGGTTTTGGAGGAAGTTTAGGTTGAGCTTTGATGTTTTTTTTACAGATATTTGTTGTTAGAAGTCCCCCTTTGAAGAGTGGTTGACGGTTGAATATATAGATCAGTAAGGGGAGTTTTGGGGGGAAAGATAGCATGAATTTGAACAATTATGGCATACTACTCTAATGCTTTTTGATGTAGTTTGTTTTTGTTATTTGTGAGTAATTGTTATGTTTTGTTTGTTTTGACAGGTTTGGATAGTTTTTTTTACATGTCTCTGCAAATTGGCAGTAGCTGGTTTTAGGACAGCATATGAGGTTTTCTTTACTGGGGCTATTTTGGGATGTTTTGGAGCATGAAACAAGATGGAAAGAGACAAGTCAGTAGGTTGTATTGGACTGGTTTTGGTTGTATGTGGCAGCAATGGCAGGTTTGACAATTTTGGACAGCAACATAGTAACAGGGCAGCAGGACTATTTTTGGACAGTGTTGTTACAATACAAACTCTCTTGTTCTATTTTTTTATTTTCTGCTATGCTTCATTTTGTTTTCAGTTTTGGCTTCTTTCCAAAATGGTGAAATATGTAGTCTTTTTCTTCTTTTGCAAATTCTGACTTTTGAACAAAACAAATGGCTAACTCTTTATTTAAATATCATTCTTGATGCCATTTTGAGTTATACTCAATGTATTATTTTTTTCTGATGTCACAATTCTTTATTCATGTCCTTCTTGATTTTCCATGATTTGGACTTTGTTGTATTCTTTTAAATATCTGGCACCGCTTGTTTTAATCGTGTACTAACACGTAGATGGAATACTTTGAAGGAGAGGGAACAACTGCAGTCATTTGGAACTTTGGAGGATATCATAGATTGATTCAAAGCTTGACTTCAAAGAAAACTCTAGCAATATGTGTAGATTCAGTGACGTTTGGAATTCTTTTGTAATATGTTAGTGTAACTTGAGGTTTATGTTTAGAAATTTGAGATGATGTTAAAGCTTATGAATAAATAAAATCTTGAATTCTTTTCTTATAAAATGGAAGAAAAAGTCTTGAACCATTTGAACTTGCAATCTTGAATCAATTATAATATATGCCTCAAAATTATCCATATGGGTGAAGTTTTAAACTTGAAAATGGACACATAAAATCATGATTATCTTGAAAACCTTTAATAATGATGAATGTATTTGAAACCTTGAATCAATTTGGTCTTAACGACATTTGTCGAGTGAAACTTCAAATTATCTCCAATGAGATCCTAATTCAGTTTTTCAATACAAGCCAATAGTATTCGAAAGAACAATATTTTCTTGAGGAAAATTTTTAAAGTGATAAGACTTGAAGCATAGAAGAACACTCTTCATGAAATCCAATAAATCTCAATTGAAATTGATGATGAAAGCTTAAGCACATACAAGTGACAACCCTAACATTCTGCTTCTTGATAAACCTTGATGAAAGATAGCCTTGTAGCTTGTCAAGGAAGATAACATGGAATATAAACCCTAGCTTCACAAACCATGATGCTTTGAACCACTGCATTAATGAATGAATAAATGATATGCCAATGACCTAGTGAAAATGATGCAAATGAAATGTAAAGCCTAAGCCAGATAAAAGTAAAAGGGTAGGACAAAGTTGGGGTAAGACATCTGCCCCTATTTAATCGTTTTAAACCTGAAGGCGAGATTAGTGCTAGCCTTTTGAACATTCAAGGTGAAAAAATATTAAATACCAAGACTTGATATTTGTCCTAGAGAGATGGTGTAAGTGTTATTATTTGTAATATCTGCTGGGGATTTAAAGAAAGGATCGACACAGATGAGTATCGAAAGAAGATACATATGATCATTAATAAAAGGTTAACGCGAAAGAGTGTTTGAAGATCCATACAAATGAGTATTGGAATGAGATATGGACAAGTATAAAAAAAGTGATAACACATACGAGTGTTTGTAGATAAATACGGACTGGTATTAAAATAAGATACAGACGGGTATCAAAAAAGTGATAACACGGACGAGTGTTTGATATTAATATGGACGAGTATTGAAATGAGATACGAACGAGTATCGAAAAATTAATAAAACGAACGAGTGTTTGAATATCAATACAGACGAGTATTGAAATGAGATACGGACGAGTATCAAAAAGCATTAACACGGACAAATGTTTGAAAGAGAGGCACAAGCGAGTGTTTGAGGGTTAATTTGTTATCTTGTATAACACTGACAAGCAAGTATTTGCATGAAGTATCTTGGGAAATTTGTTGTAGATATCAGATGGAGAGTTGTGGGGATAAGATCCTCTATGGAGACATACCATTGTTTTGATTGGGGATTGAGTATGGCCTACGTTTCACATGCATTTTTTAGTTGTATAGTGTAATGATGGATGTCAACTGGGAATTGTGAGGATGGCATTCTTTGTGGGGATGTTTTACTGTTTTGAGGATTAATTTGGGCTTTTGTGCAAGTTACCAAATCTGGATTATGCTTCGTATTCATTTTGAAGTGTATGGCATAATGATCCATTTCAATGGATATGCTACGCGTTTGAGGATGCAGTGATGATTACTATATGCAGAGTTCCAAATATTAGGCTTATCGAGGTCCATTTCCAATTGTCTTTGAGATACAAATATAGATTGGTGATTGAAAACTCAAGAATTGGGTTATAGCCTTGTTGGGGATTGAATTGCAGTCTTACTGTGGAGGAGTAGCTTGATCTGAATTTCTCTACATCCTAGACGACTTGTGGATGGCTGGATAGAGACATAGATCTCCTATAATGCCTCAAGTTGCCTCAATGTTGGAGAGTTGTGTGCTCAACCATATACAGGAGGTGACGATGATAAAAGCTAGGTCGAGGTGACCGTTACGACTTACTACCTGCATAGAAAAACAACATTTTAATGCCATGACACTCACTTGGAATGCCTTCATGTCAATGTAACGTCGTGTTTCACATCTTAGCTTGTGATTATTATTACGTTATTATTTTCAATGCAATGTTTAATAAAGAATTTAAATCACAATTTGCATACGAAAAATAAAGTAAAAAGACATATCGAAGAAACTTTTTTGGTGAAAAGGCAATTTTATTAATGAGATTGGCCTGTGAATAGGCATTTGTACATGGAAACAACTCCAAAATGAGGCAGTTGCAAAGAAAAGACAAAATACAACAAGTGAAATGGCAATAAGAAAATCTCAAACTTCCATTAAAACCAATACTGCTATAGTTCCCGTATCCTTAATCATCCTAGTGCTTTGCTTCTGAAGGGTAATAGTCGAATTGATCCATCTAGTGCAGGAGTGTATACTGTTATTCGTGAAGAGTTTTTAGACTATAGTCTCTCGCTTTTAGTCCCCAATTTTTGCCTGGATTGCCCTTTCGGGTTTTCAATCCACCGGGATACCCATTTTTGCCTAAGCCACCCTTTCGGGTTTTTGACTTAGCAGGTTATACTTTTTTCTTTCTTTTTAGCCCTAAATTTTGCCTAATCCTCCCTTTTGGGTTTTCGACTTAGCGAGTCTTTTATGCGTAGTATTTTTTGAATGAGTATGAATTGACTGAAAGTGGAACGTCTTCCCCATCCATGTCCGTCAGGATTAGAGAACCTCCTGAGAAAGCTTTCTTTATGATGTATGGCCCTTCATAGTTTGGAGTCCACTTGCCTCTTAGATTAGAGTGAATTGGGAGGATCTTCCTTAAGAACAGTTCACCCGTGTGGAACTCTCGAGGTCGAATCTTCTTGTCAAATGCTCTCTTGAGACGTTGTTGATATAACTGACCATCACAAATGGCTTCTAGGAACTTCTCTTCAATGAGATTGAGTTGGTCGAGCCTTGTTAGAATCCATTCAGCTTCATTAAGCTTGGTATCCACCAGAACCCTTAATGAAGGAATTTCCACTTCGACTGGGAGCGCCGCATCCATACCATAAACTAGTTAAAAAAAGGAGTTACCCCAGTAGAAGTACGCACAGAAGTTCTATAGCCATGTAGAGCAAAGGGAAATATCTCATGCCAATCCTTGTATGTTATCACCATTTTCTGGACGATTTTCTTTATGTTCTTGTTAACTGCTTCAATTGCGCCATTCATTTTGGCTAATAGGGTGGCGAATTATGGTGCTCAATCATAAATTCTTCACACATATTCTTCATCATTTTGTTATTGAGGTCCGACCTGTTATCAGTGATAATCTTGTTAGGAGTCCCACAATGGCATATGATTTCTTTTTTGATGAAGCGAGTGACGACTTTCCTAGTCACATTCTTGTAAGAAGCCGCTTCCACCCACTTGGTGAAGTAGTCAATAGCAACGAGAATGAAACTGTGTCCATTTGAAGCGTTTGGCTCAATCCGTCCAATCATATAAATGCCCCACATTGCAAAGGGACATGGTGAAGTCATTACATTCAAAGGAGTGGGAGGAATATGTATCCTGTATGCGTAAACTTGACATTTATGGTACATCTTTGCATACACACAACAATCATTTTCCATCGTCATCTGGAAATAACCTGTTCGTAGGATTTTCTTGCCATATCATTTCCACTGGCATGTGTCCCAAAAGATCCCTCGTGAATTTCTCGTATGATGGATTCTGCTTCGTGTCTATCCATGCATCTGAGCATAATTGAATCATAGTTTCTTTTGTACAGAACGTCTCCTGACAATAAGAACTTCGACGCTAATCTTCTAAGTGTTCGCTTCTCACAAATTGTAGCACCTTCTGGATACTCTTGCTTCTAAAGATATCTTTTGATGTTGAAATACCACGACTTTTCATCTGACACATCTTCGGTTGTGAGATAATGAGCAGGGGAAACATATGTTGGCTCCTTGTAACGAAGGATTCCTATATTGGGCGCATGATTCAGATAACTGACTTTGAACAATGTTGTTAAAGTATCTAGAGCATCTGCCAACCGATTTACTTCTCTAGGAATATGCTCAAAGGTGATCTCATAAAAATCGGGAAATAGCTCTAATATGTAATCCTTGTATGGAACTAAATTTGGGTTTCGTGTATCCTAATCACCTCGTACCTGGTATATTAATAAGGAAGAATCCCCATAAACTTCAAGAATCTTGATCTTCAAATCAATGGTGGCTTCAAGGCCCATTACATAAGCTCGTATTCTGCAACATTATTCGTGCAATCAAAGAATAATCGGGCCATGAAAGGTATGTGAGTATTGCATGGAGAAGTCATAACTACCCCAATAATATGGCCTATAACATTTGATGCACCTTCGAACGTGAGAGTCGATCGCTCCCATGGTTCGGGTCCTTCCTCATCATCAAGTTTCATAACACTCTCGTCTGGAAAATCGAACTTCATTTACTGATACTCTTCCAATGGTTGGTGAGCAAGATGATCTACAAGTATGCTACCTTTGATAGCCTTTCGTGTGACGTACTGGATGTCATACTCTTATAAAAGAATTTTCCACCGAGACAATCTACCTATAAGTGTTGGTTTCTCAAAGATGTACTTTATCGGATCCATTCTAGATATCAGAAGTGTAGAGTGTGTCAACATGTACTGCCTTAAACATCAAGCTGCTCACGTAAGAGCGCAACAAGTCTTTTGAAGTAATGATTACCTTGATTCACAATCAATAAACTTTTTGCTCAGGTAATAAATGGCGTGTTCTTTTCGTCCAATATCATCATGTTGTCCGAGCATACAACCCATATATCCTTCAAGCACAGTCATATACATAATGAGTGGTCTCCCTAGAACTGGAGGTATGAATATTGGTGGCTCTTGAAGGTACTGTTTAATCTTCTTGAAGGCTTCTTGACAACTATTATCCCAATGGAAATCTTGATTCTTATGCAACAATTTAACGATGGGTTCACAAGTAGCTGTAAGATGAGAAATGAACTTGGCTATGTAATTCAACCTCCCAAGGAACCCACGTACT